CACACATAAGGGGGATTACCAACAGACCCCTGGCAGTCTTCAAGCTGGCACTGGACAAGCACCTAAAGTCAGTTCCTGATCAGCCGGGCTGTGGCTCGTACGTTGGTTTGCGTGCAGCCAGCAGCAACAGCCTGGTTGATCAGGCACTGATCCACCAGGAGGCCTGGTCACAGACCGGGCTGCGGGGGCGTTGACCCTCGAAACTCTCTCCAGGTAAACTCCAGGTCCAGGTATGGTAAACACGAGGAAATTAAATCTTCATCAGAGTACAAAACAAATTCTGGCCACAAAATAGAGCGAAACACCAACGTCAAAGACCTGGGAGTGATCATGCCGGAGGATCTCACCTTCAAGGACCATAGCATTGTATCAATCGCATCTGCTAGAAAAATGACAGGATGGATAATGAGAACCTTCAAAACTAGGGAGGCCAAGCCCATGATGACACTCTTCAGGTCACTTGTTCTATCTAGGCTGGAATATTGCTGCACACTAACAGCACCTTTCAAGGCAGGTGAAATTGCTGACCTAGAAAATTGTACGGGAGAACCTTCACGGCGCGCATAACGGAGATAAAACACCTCAATTACTGGGAGCGCTTGAGGTTCCTGAACCTGTATTCCCTGGAACGCAGGCGGGAGAGATTCATGATTATATACACCTGGAAAATCCTAGAGGGACTAGTACCGAACTTGCACACGAAAAATCACTCACTACGAAAGCAAAAAGACTTGGCAGACGATGCAACATCCCCCCAATGAAAAGCAGGGGTGTCACTAGCACGTTAAGAGACCATACAATAAGTGTCAGGGGCCCGAGACTGTTCAACTGCCTCCCAGCATACATAAGGGGGATTACCAACAGACCCCTGGCAGTCTTCAAGCTGGCACTGGACAAGCACCTAAAGTCGGTTCCTTACCAGCCGGGCTGTGGCTCGTACGTTGGTTTGCGTGCAGCCAGCAGCAACAGCCTGGTTGATCAGGCTCTGATCCACCAGGAGGCCTGGTCACGGACCGGGCCGCGGGGGCGTTGACCCCCGGAACTCTCTCCAGATAAACTCCAGGTAAACTGGTAACCAGAATGATCCATCCTACTCACTCATGACCAGAATGAGGACCCATCCTACATATTGGTTGTCAGAATTAGGACCCATCCTCCACACTTGTGCTCAGAAAGACGCATCCTACACAGTGGTCAGAATGAAGACCCATCCAACACAATGGTGGTCAGAATGAGGACCCATCCCACATACTGGTCAGAATGAGGATCCATCCAACACACTGGTGGTCAGAATGAGAACCCATCCTACATACTAGTGATCAGAATGAAGACCCACCCTACACACTTGTGACCAGAATGAGGACCCATCCCATACACTGGTGACAAGAATAAGGATCCATCCTACACACTGGTCAGAATGAGGGTCTATCGTACACACTGGTGGTCAGAATGAGGACCCATCCAACACACTGGTGGTCTGAATGAGGACCCATCCTACACATTGGTCATAATGAGAACCCATCGTACATACTAGTGGTCAGAATGAAGACCTATCCTACACACTTGTGACCAGAATGAGGACCCATCCTACACACTGCTGATCAGAATAAGGATCCATCCTACACACTGGCGGTCAGAATGAGGACCAATCCTACACACTGGTGCAGAATTAGCAACAGTTGCAGCATTAGCAACAGTGGGAGAATTAACAGTGACAATATGGGTAACAGTGGCAGCGCTAACAGTGGTAGCATTAATAACAGTGGCACCGTTAACATGTGACAGCATTATCAATAGCGGCAACGTTAACAGCATTGTGACTGTTAATAGTGACAGTGTTTACAGTGACAGTATTATCAACAGTGATAATGTTGACAGTGTTAACAGTGACAGTGTTGAGAGTGTTAACAGTGAGCGTTAACAACAGTGACAGTGTTAACAGTGACAGTGTTAACAACAATGACAGTGCTAACAGTGACAGCGTTAGCAGCAGTATCAGCGCTAACAACAGTGACACCACTAACAGTGGCATTAACAGTGACATCGTTAGATAGAGTGGCAGCATCAGTAATAGTGGTAGTGTCAGTAACAGTGGTAGTATCACAAGTGGTAGAGTCAGCAATAGTGGAAGCGTCAGCAAGTGACAGCGTCAGTGGTAGCGTCAGCAACAGTGATAGCGTCAGCAACAGTGATAGCATCAGCAACAGTGGTAGTGTCAGCAACAGTGGTAGCATCAGCAACAGTGGTAGCATCAGCAACAGTGGTAGCATCAGCAACAGTGGTAGCGTCAGCAACAGTGATAGCATCAGCAACAGTGGTAGTGTCAGCAACAGTGGTAGCGTCAGCAACAGTAGTAGCGTCAGCAACAGTGGTAGTGTCAGCAACAGTGGTAGTGTCAGCAACAGTGGTAGTGTCAGCAACAACAGCAGGGTGTGAAAAGCAACAATGACAGAGTTAAAAACAATAGTAATGAATAAAGTCCATGTATCAGAGGCTAGTCATACACAAACCTTGGGTTAAGTTACAACCCGCGATGTTAGCGGCTGTGGCGTCTGCTCACTCTACTTCAAACAACATCCACATTATATTATTATTATTATTATAATCAAGGGGGAAGCGCTAAACCCGGAGGATTATACAGCGCCTGGGGGGGGGATATGTGGAAGGCATTCAGGCTTAATTCGGGGAACTGGAGCACAGATCCAATTCCCTAAATCAAGAGCCCCTCACCAACATCAAGGAACCTTCCTTGAGGGGAACAACATCCACAAAATATTCCAAGTTAGTGGAAGGAGGTAGGGGAGGGAGGGCTACCACCGCCAGTGTTGACAAGAGTTAATTTCCCCGCTAGGTAAGTCGTAGAATTTGAGAGGCTGAAGGAAGGGTCGTAGAGTGTCGCTCAAACCTCGAATCAGGTTAAGGTGACGTAGTGACGGGGTTTAAGCTTTTAGTTAATTAATGAACGACAAATTAAACTGATGGGATCGAGTTTGGTTAGTATAAACCATAACCCAGGTTAATTGTGGTTAGAGTACATACTGTAAGCAAAGTTTAATTTAGCTTTACTTGCGCTAAACTATTCACGATTAATGAAGCAACCTTTATTGACTCTTAGGGTGATGCATTCATCAAAAAAAACCACAATTGGCAAAAAATGTATTTACTTCATCATATTTATTACATTCAGCTTGATATACTGACAGTGTTATATTAAAACTTACAAAAGGTCATCTTATGCATGTTAATCACTAAAAAGTCAACTGTCTCTCTAACACACTGCCTCATTGTCAGCACTGTACACAGAACTGACATCTATTTATAACCTGTAAAAATATATATGTATACAAAACTTTGAGTAAATTCACCGTCAATAATGTTAATGTTGACTTTCTAGTGAGTAATGATATCAGTGAATAATGACACTTACTGCATCAACACACACACACACGCACACACTGTTATTGTATCAACACAAAACACACACACACACACACACACACACACACACACACACACACACACACACACACACACACACACACACACACACACACACACACACACACACAGAGTTAATGACTCCACACACAGTTAATGAATCAATACACACACACACACAATTGGAAGTTAAAGACACAGATGAGTCAGAGATATTAGGAAGTATTTCTTCAGTCATAGAGTTGTCAGGCAGTGGAACAGCCTAGAAAGTGATGTAGTGGAGGCAGGAACCATACATAGTTTTAAGACGAGGTTTGATAAAGCTCATGGAGCGGGGAGAGAGAGGACCCAGTAGCAACCGGTGAAGAGGCGGGGCCAGGAGCTAAGACTCGACCCCTGCAACCACAAATAGGTGAGTACAAATAGGTGAGTACATACACACACACACACACACACACACACACACACACACACACACACACACACACAAACTAATTTGAATCAGAAGATGCTCAGGGAAGCACAGTGGGAGGATGAAAGGGAGAGGGCTGTTTTTGTCTATGGGCTCCAAGAAGTAGATGGGGAAACTTACGAGGCAAGGAAACAGGAGGAGAAAAAAATATTGAAAGCATCATGAAAGCAATAAGAGAGGACATGACCCAGCTGACAAATTTTCGGAGAATTGGGTGGTTTGCAAGGGAAAAAAAGCGTCCAGTCAAAGTGATTTTCAAGGCAGAGTCAGCTCGAAACCAGATCCTGCAGGAGAAAGCACGCCTAAGGGACAATCAGGCATTCCGGAGTGTGTACTTCGACCGAGACAGAACACAAGAAGAAAGGATGACACTGAAAGAGAGAGTGCAACGTCGCAAGGAGGATTGGGAGGCAAGGAAGGTGGAGAGCAGGAGAAATCAGGCCCACGCAAAAGAACAAACACAACCCCTTCCAGTATCACCCACAGAAGGAACACAACCTTTGCAGTCCCAAAGCAATCAAACGACCTAACCCAAAACCCACTCACTGTACCCTCTGCCCCCATCCCCCTCAGCACAAACCCCACCCCCACAGAAACCCACAGTACCCCACCCCCACAGTAACCCTCATTAACCCGCACATCCCCCTTAGCTCAAACCCCACCCCCACAGAAACCCACAGTAACCCACACAATGTACCCTCTTCCCCCATCCCCCTCACCACAAACCCCACCCTCACAGTAACCCACAGCAACCCCCACACTGTACCCTCTATCCCCATTCCCCTCACCACACAACCCGCTCCCCCACTGTAACCCCCCATAGGCTCTCTGCCCCCATCCCCCTCAGCACAAACCCCACCCCACAGAAACCCACACATCCCCCTCTGCATAAACCCCACCCCCACGGTAACCCTCATTAACCCGCACATCCCCCTCAGCTCAAACCCCACCCCCACAGAAACCCACAGTAACCCACACAATGTACCCTCTATCCCCATCCCCCTCACCACAACCCCCCCCACTGGCTCTCTTCCCCCATCCCCCTCACCACCACCACCATCCCCACTGAAACCCCAGACAGGCCCTCTGCCCCCCACACAACCCCCTATAGGCCCCTGTCAGGGCACCTGCTCCCCCTAACCCACCTCTCTCCCCAGACCACAGTTATTGAAAAGAAGTTGAAGGTTTGGTACACGAACGCAGATGGAATAACTAATAAATGTGAGGAGTGGCATGAAAGAATCAAGGAGATGTCCCCAGACATCATAGCGGCTACAGAAACAAAACTCACTGGGATAATAACAGATGCAATCTTCCCACCCAGATATCAGATGCTGAGGAAGGATAGAAGGAGCAGGGGGGGAAGAGGGGTTGCACTACTAATAAAAAACCGGTGGGGTTATCAAGAAATGGAAGGTATGGACGAGACTGGAGAAATGGATTACACAGTAGGTACAGTTCAGTCAGGGGAACACAAGGTAGTCATTGCAGTGATGTATAACCCACCACAGAACTGCAGGAGGCCAAGAGAGGACTATGATGAGTGCAACAGAGCAATGGTGGACACTCTAGCTGAGGTCGCAAGAAGGGCTCACTCAAGCAGAGCGAAGTTACTGGTCATGGGCGACTTCAATCACAGGGAGATTGATTGGGAAAACCTGGAACCACATGGGGTCCCAAAACATGGAGAGCGAAGATGATGGATGTGGTGCTGGCAAATCTCATGCACCAACATGTTAGGGATACTACCAGAGAGAGAGGGGGAGGATGAACCAGCAAGACTGGACCTCGTGTTCACCCTGAGTGGCTCAGACATTGAGCACATCACATATGAAAGGCCCCTTGGAGCTAGTGACGACGTAGTTATGAGCTTTGAATACATCGTGGAGCTAAAAGTGGAGAGGGTAACAGGAGTAGAAAGGGAAAAGCTAAACTATAAAAGGGGGGACTACACAGAAATGAGGATCTTCCTGCAGGAGGCTCAGTGGGAACAGGAGTTGTTAGGAAAATCAGTAAACGAAATGATGGACTTTGTAACAACAAAATGCAAGGAGGCAGAGGAAAGGTCTGTTCCCAAGGGTAACAGAAATAATGGGAAGGACAGAACAAGCCCTTGGATTACCCGAAGGTGCAGGGAGGCAAAAACTAAGTGCTCTAGAGAATGGAAAAAGTACAGAAGGCAAAGGACTCAGGAGAATAGAGAGATTAGTTGACAAGCCAGAAACGAGTATGCACAGATAAGGAGGGAGGCACAGAGGCAGTATGAAAATGACATAGCATCGAAAGTCAAGTCTGATCCGAAACTACTCTACAGCCACATAAGGAGGAAGACAATAGTCAAGGACCAGGTAATCAGGCTGAGGAAGGAAGGTGGGGAGCTCACAAGAAATGACCAGGAGGTATGCGAGGACCTCAACATGAGATTTCAGGAAGTATTTACAGTGGAGGCTGAAGGGACAACAGGAAGACAAAACAGTGGCATACAGCAACAAGGGATATACCATGGAAATAAATGGTATATAATACCGACACAATGGAAATATAAACACATATGCAGTATAATGTGATCCTTTATTGACTACGTTTCGCCCACACAGTGGGCTTTTTCAAGTCACAAACAGAACTACCTGGGGTGGAAGGAACGCGAGTATTAATAGTCAGGATCAGATTGCTGAGGTCAGGTGGAGAATGTTGCATCTGAGTCTAAAATCTTGGGTAGCTTGGAAAGGAGATTGGACAAGTTTGTGAGCAGACCTTCTACAGTGTTCTTATGTGGGATAGCGATGAAGAAGCTTCTTGGCAAGTGGTTCAGCTATGTTATAGAAGCCACTATTCTGGTTGAAGTTGTCGGATATAGAAATAAGTGATGATTCCAGGATTCTTCGGTAGTTCTGTTTGTGACTTGAAAAAGCCCACTGTGTGGGCGAAACGTAGTCAATAAAGGATCACATTATACTGCATATGTGTTTATATTTCCAAGGGATATACCAACAAGTGTTGGATGAATTACACACAACTGAGGAGGAGGTGGAGAAGCTCCTAAGTGACCTTGATACACCAAAGGTGGTGGGACCAGACATCTCTCCATGGGTCCTTAGAGAGGGAGCAGGGACACTACGTGTGCCACTAACCAAAATCTTCAACACTTCCCTTGAAACTGGGCAACTACCTGAAGTATGGAAGAAGGCAAATGTAGTCCCCATCTTTAAGAAGGGAGACAGAAATGAAGCACTAAATTATAGACCAGTGTCACTGACATGTATAGTATGCAAAGTCTTGGAAAAGATTATCAGGAGGAGAGTGGTGGAGCACCTGGAGCGGAACAAGATTATAAACGACAGCCAGCACGGATTCATGGAAGGCAAATCTTGTGTCACAAGCCTACTAGAGTTTTATGACAAGGTAAGTGAAGTAAGAAATGAGAGGGAGGGGTGGGTTGATTGCATTTTCTGGACTGCAAGAAGGCCTTCGACACAGTTCCTCACAAGAGATTAGTACAGAAGCTAGAGGAAGAGGCACATATAACAGGAAGGGCACTGTAATGGATCAGAGAATACCTAACAGGGAGGCAACAGCGTGTCACGGTCCGTGATGAGGTATCACAGTGGGCGCCAGTGACGAGCGGGGTCCCACAGGGGTCAGTCCTGGGACCAGTGCTATTCTCGGTATATGTGAACGACATGATGGAAGGGATAGACTCAGAAGTGTCCCTGTTTGCAGATGACGTGAAGTTAATGAGGAGAATTCAATCAGACGCGGACCAGACAAGTCTACAAAGAGACCTGGACAGGCTGGATGTGTGGTCCAGAAACTGGCTCCTAGAATTTAACCCCGCCAAATGCAAAGTCATGAAGATCGGAGGAGGGCAAAGAAGACCGTAGACAGAGTATAGGCTAGGAGGCCAAAGGCTGCAAACCTCACTCAAGGAGAAAGACCTAGGAGTGAGTATAATACCAAGTACATCGCCAGAAGCACACATTAACCAGATAACTGCTGCGGCATATGGGCGCTTGGCAAACATGAGAATAGCGTTCCGGTACCTCAGTAAGGAATCGTTCAAGACTTTATACACTGTGTACGTCAGGCCCATACTGAAGTACGCAGCACCAGTTTGGAACCCACATCTGGTCAAACACGTTAAGAAATTAGAGAAAGTGCAAAGGTTTGCAACAAGGCTGGTTCCAGAACTAAGGGGAATGTCCTATGAAGAGAGGTTAAGGGAAATCGGTCTAACAACACTGGAGGACAGGAGGGTCAGGGGAGACATGATGACGACATACAAAATACTGCGTGGAATAGACAAGGTGGATAGAGACAGGATGTTCCAGAGATGGGACACAGAAACAAGGTGTCACAATTGGAAGCTGAAGACTCAGATGAGTCAAAGGGATGTTAGGAAGTATTTCTTCAGTCATAGAATAGTCAGGAAGTGGAATAGTCTGGTAAGCGATGTAGTGGAGGCAGGAACTATACATAGTTTTAAGACGAGGTATGATAAAGCTCATGGAGCAGGGTGTGAGAGGACCTAGTAGCGGTCAGTGAAGAGGCGGGGCCAGGAGCCGAGTCTCGACCCCTGCAACCACAATTAGGTGAGAATTAGGTGAGTACAGTTAATGAATCAACACACACACAGTTACTGTATAAACACACAGTTACTGTATTAACAAACACACTGTTACTGTATCCGCACATACATAAACAGTTACTGTATCAACACACACACACTCAGTACAAGGTTGAACAGGTATTCAATACTGGTAAAAACGAATTTGCATGAACAATTACATGATATACATAATGATCATGTTACAGTAAGTAGGTGTGAATCTTGGTTATGGTGGCATACCTGACACTGACTTACTGGTTCATCTTGTGAAAAGTTAAAGATCTATCATAACATGTGATGGTCGGTCGTCCACACCACATAAAAGAAAGACTCATAATGGTAACACAATGGCGCAGCACAACACTGGATGTTCGGGTTAAACTTTCGGAATACATAAGACTTCCCTCGTCCAGTCTGAAAGTCGCGAGTGATGTCTATGGGTTATACACAAAGTTTTGTTTTTTTCTGAAGCCTCAGGTGAAAAAGGCTTATTTAAGCGTATATTATGAAGCAGTTATACAAGGCACGAGGAGTGTCACACTTCTCACTCACAAGGTACAACAACACACACAAAACTGACAGAACTCTTGTTGTCACTTGGAATATGTATTTTGTCAATAAGAGGCACATCTGAATTTTAAAACACATTCATGAAAACACTAATTACAGCAGCTTCATGACTTGTTCAATAAAAATTGTGAATATACTGAATTAAGGAAAAAGTAAGAAATCCCATAAATATTAGATTGTGTCTGTAACACAAGACATTAGACTATGTCTGTAAGCACACCTTGGTTGCTTACACCTTGGTTGCCCCTAGCCAGGGGCAAGGTTGCCTATACTGGATCACCCATCCAGCTGCTTACCAGACTCGTACATTTTACCTGTGAATAATTAGAATTTTGTTTAGAATTCCCAAGTTAACGGTTACTGCTTCCACGATACTTATTAGACCTGTTTTGTTACTGACATTTGAATGACTGAGTGCAAACATTAAACACTTGAAGGTTAACATCAGACGGCACTCTCTCCCTTCTTCAGGAGCGGAGTGCTGGGCGTGTCCTCTTCATAACTTGCGTGTCTGGAGAATGTCACTCGCTTCCTCTCAGAGTCTAGATACTCTGCTGGGGGAGGGAGACTACCTTCCACATTCGGGCGAGGGTAGTGGTGTGGGTTGGTACGGGGGTGTAGCAGTAGGTGTTCGGTAGTGTCCGGTCTGAGAAGAGCTCGCTGGGATACACTGCCAGAGGCTGCTTGCTGGTGCAGGAAAGCTTGGGCGTCGTCTTGATGGTGGTGTGGGTCGTCGTGAAGGAGGTAAGAGTTGTCGTGGTGTTGATGGGTGTCATCCTGGTGGAGGAGGTGGGGGTCGTGGTGGTGGTGGTGGTGCACAATGTGTGGCGGTGGTGGTGGTGGCAGTGCATGTTGCTCATATGTTGTGGCTTGTGATTGTCCACTGTATTGCAGGTGAGTGGTGGTTGTGGTCTGTGGTGGGGGTGGCGAGTGTTGCTGGTGTTGTGAGGTTGTGGCAGTCTGCAATGGTGGGGGAATATGATGCTGGTGATGTGTGGTTGTGGCGGTGTGTAGTGATGGTGTAGGGTGGTGATGGTGATGGTGGTAGCAGGGGTCAGCGAGGTCTCCACACGGCAGGGGGGGTGCTGCCTGGACCACACCAAGCACACTGTACTCGGGAGGACACGGCGGCTGGCACCACAAAAAAAAAAAGTGTAAAAGCTTGTACTGATCATGGGAACATAGAGACAGACAATATAATAACCTAGGTGATATGTCACGATATTGTATTGATGAAAACAAGATGGCAGACATATTACGTAAATATCCAAAATTTGCTTACAACAGATAATAAGACAATCTCTAAATATATATCCAGATGTACTGGTGGTAACTCTCTTGGGGACTAGTTCCTAGGCCTTTTGTGTATCTATATATATGCTCTTGCACCACCGTCCACGGGAAGAATATAAGGTGCACAATAAACTAGCCACTCCGGCGAGAAAATCTATGAAAGCAATGGACGTATATATAATATAATCTGTAAGTACGCAAATAACTTAATTATATCCACAAGTTATATTCTGGGCTATATTGTCTTAGTATAAAACATTACAACATTCAAAAAGCGTAACATATACTAAGACTAAAATTGGCCAATATTCTATAACAAAGTACAACGATATATATATATATATATATATATTATATATATATATATATATTTATAGTAATATGTTTTGTGTGTGTGTGTGTGTGTGTGTGTGTGTGTGTGTGTGTGTGTGTGTGTGTGTGTGTGTGTGAGGAAGGTTAATGCAGACAACACTGGATATGCAATACAGTGGTGGGTGGCAACAATGATGCTGTCACAGGAATCAGTGTATTACAACAGACAATGATGCTGTCACAGGAATCAGTGTATTACAACAGACAGTGATGCTGTCACAGGAATCAGTGTATTACAACAGACAATGATGCTGTCACAGGAATCAGTGCATTACAACTGACAGTGATGCTGTCACAGGAATCAGTGATTACAACGACAATGATGCTGTCACAGGAATCAGTGCATTACAACAGACAGTGATGCTGTCACAGGAATCAGTGCATTACAACAGACAGTGATGCTGTCACAGGAATCAGTGCATTACAACAGACAGTGATGCTGTCACAGGAATCAGTGTATTACAACAACAGTGATGCTGTAAGGAATCTGCATTACAACAGACAGATGCTGTCACAGAATCTGCATTACACAGACGTGAGCGCACAGGAATCATGCATTATAAGCAGTATGCTGTCACAGAATCAGTGTATTACAATGACATGAGAGTTTCCAACAGTGAATAGTCATGACCAACAGAGCACAGATTAAACTCATGTAGCATTTCAATATTCGTAATTCAAATTACACAATGATATCGTGAACAGTGACATATTAAGCTTACATGCTAATTAATGAATTTTAAGTGTACGTTAAAATATTCTTAACAGTGCAGGTTTGTGGAATACTAAGCGTCTTTTATATTAAGGGAAAGATACAAAAAAAAAGTGCTCGGATTTTTAAAAATAATGACAGGTTTTTCATTATTTTTAGCCTAAGCATTTTTAATTTAAATTAAGTATAATTCTGCATTTCCATCACAAGTGTATGAAAATATATAATTTTTTTTCTACCGAGAACAAAAAAGTCAATACCGTGACTGGAATAATACACAAACAACCCGCACTTAAGTAAAAGAAACTTATGACGACTTTTCGGTCCAACTTGGACCATTAACTAGTCACACACTAATTACTGGTCCAAGTCGGACCGAAAAAACGTCGTAAGTTGTCGTACGTGCGGGTTATTTATGTAGTTTTTTTTATAGCAAATGTTCATCAGTTGACATGACAAAATGTACCCAGCTGCATTTTATACCTAATATATTTTCTAGTTATTACAGAATTTGCAATATCAGAATAATAAAATTCTTCAAAACGAAAAAAAAGCAACATGATACAAAAAAAAAATAATCAAACTGATAATTCTTTATAATAATAACTAATATAAAAGGTAATGGTTTTCACATCAAAATAATAAACGCTAAATTAATAATGTTGTGAAAGTAAGGTTATCCATCAACCTGACCATTTACTATCTACTATCACTATTATTACTATCACTATTACTATCACTACTATACACTATACTACTCACTATATCACTATTACTATCACTTCCACTATCACTATTATCACTATTATCATTACTATCACTATTACTATCACTACTGCTATCACTTCTACTACCATCACTATCACTACTACAAGTATCACTACTGCTATCACTATCACTACTGCTATCACTATCACTACTATTACTATTATTACTACTACTGCTATCACTATCACTACTGCTATCACTATCACTATTACTACTATTATTACTACTACTGCTATCACTATCACTACTGCTATCACTATCACTACTACTATTAGTTCTATCTTATGAAGTATGTAAGGTTAAAGAGGATGCCAGCTTGAAGAGTTAGTAGGTAGTCATCAGCAGATGACTGCTAACAAGGAGTCAGCAGGCAGTAGGCATAGTTAACAAGGAGTCAGCAGGCAGTCATCAACAAGGAGTCAGCATGCATAGTTAACAAGGAGTCAGCAGGCAATCATAGTTAACAATGAGTCAGCATGCATAGTTAACAAGGAGTCAGCAGGCAGTCATCATCCACAAGGAGTCAGCAGGCAGTCATCATCAACAAGTAGGCAGGCAGTCATCATCCACAAGGAGTCAGCAGGCAGTCATTATCAACAAGTAGGCAGGCAGTCATTATCAACAAGTAGGCAGGCAGCCATCATCCACACGGAGTCAGCAGGCAGTCATCATCCACAAGGAGTCAGCAGGCAGTCATTATCAACAAGGAGGCGTCAAGGCAGGCAGCCATCATCCACACGGAGTCAGCAGGCAGTCATCATCCACAAGGAGTCAGCAGGCAGTCATCATCCACAAGGAGTCAGCAGGTAGTCATCATCCACAAGGAGTCAGCAGGCAGTCATCATCAAGTAGGCAGGCAGTCATCATCAACACGGAGTCAGCAGGAATTCATCTTCAACGACGTTTCGGTCTGACTTGGACCAATAACCAATCACACTGGTTAATAATAATGGTAGAATTACCGGCAAAATGTTAGATAACAGGGAACAGATGCAACTAATGTGACATTTTATTGTAGCAACGTTTCGCTCTCCAAGAGCTTTGTCAAGCCGTTAGAGCTTGTTAAAGCTCCTGGAGAGCGAAATGTTGCTACAATAAAGTGTCACATCAGCTGCATGTGCCCTATTACCCAACAGACTGGTTAATGGTCGTCGGAGCGAAACGTCGTCATAAATATGAATTTCCTAAGTGCGGCTTATTTATAGTGCGTTGTTACAGCTACGGTATTGTGACTTATTCTCGGTGTTGGCATCCCTCACAATTACTCACCTGTACACCAGCTCTGCAACATTATTTTGTGAAACAGGGTAAAAAATTTTTTTTTTCTGGCAGTGTACCAAAATTTCTGATCTAGAAATTGCCTACAGCATAACGCGTGAACTTGTTCTTCAGTTCTAAATAACCATTAAGCTGTTTTCATAATAAAACGTTAAACACAACACAAATACTGATCTGATCCAGCGACCTATTTTTCGATGAACTAAGTAGCATTATTTTCAGCTAATATTTATGTTTTTGTTTTTTTAGCATAAATTATTATTATAATCAAAAAGAAGCGCTAAGCCACAAGGGCTATACAGCTTTTAGCATAAAGGTAACACTGCATAATCTCCTTACATGTAGGCACAATGAACAGTGAAATTACGAATGTTATAACACTGCCACGTCAGACGTGCTTTCTGTCATTTTAAAATTTATCAATAAAAAAAAAAAACAGAAAAATCGTAGCAAAACAAAATTTTCATGAAACATACAAATGTCATTAATATGTCGACATTATGACAAATACTTGTAGTCAAAACATGTCTTAGGAACGTCTGAATTTGTCTTTTACCATATCAAAGCCAACAGTTGCGATATTTTCGAATATTTTTTGGGACACCATGTGCCTGTTTTTAATGGTGTGATTGTAAAAGCTTTCTATTTAGCAAGTACATGTTAGAACCCAGCTCGCGAAACATTATACATGCTAGCAGCCAGTGAGCACTATAGATCCAGCATAAGCTTGCACTCAGCATACAGTACATACATGCTAGCACCCAGCAGGAGTAACATTAAAGTCACAGGCTGACGTGGCTGACTCGACCCCTGCAACCACATATAGGTGAGTGAACAGACACACAAGGCCAGGAGCTACGAATCGACGCCTGCAACCACAAATAGGTGAGTACGCAAAGGTATCGGCAGATACTTGGTGGTTAAGGTAACAAGTCTAAGAACCTGCTACCAGGAGGTGATAGTCAGCAGCAACACATCGCAAAACTTATTATATCAGAGCCTAGCAGTAAATGCAAAAATAGTTTCACAGCATTCAAACAGAAGCGTCTGCAAGCGGCACATATGAATGCAGATATAATAAACAAATTAGGCAGGCAACAAATAACGCTCATAGAGGCTCATACATGAAACATTAGACAATACACAGTCAATGAATAAAAAGGTAACAATAACATAGTTACAAAGAAATTAATATAAAACATGCATAAATAAAAAAAATCACGGGTAACTACGAAGAATTTCTCACAATATTGGGTGGTAGATGTGCAGGCACTGGAGAGTACTTGTAGCGCTCTGAAGGCAGCAGTGTGGCTGCTGCAGTCAGCTCTCTCTCACAGCTGCTGCTGCTGCGATATGACTCCTGCAGGGGGATCACGTCAGGCTCTGCGTCACTCTCTGACTCTGCCTGCTGCTGGAGAAGAAGGGGAATGGTTGAGATAATATGGGAAGGAGAGGAGTGGTAGATGTGCAGATATTGATAATAAACAGAGACCAGAAGATAGTTATCATGGCTAATTTCACATTTTGTACACTAAATTGTAATCTTCATAATTTTAAACAGATAATCTTGTATCAAAACACCCTCCTGATGGCTGGAAAATAGTACGCAGAATGGAGTGCTTTGATGTTCAGTTTTCATAGGACTTAAATGTCACGCTAAACATCTTCATAACATTTTGGCAAAAACGTTGGATTACACACAAAAATTATATTTACTCTATATACAGTATGTGTAGGCAGTACACATGCACTAGATTTACATAGGGTAAACCAGTGTCAACTGACCTGTTGCATGTCCCTCTCCAGGCAGGTAAGGTGATGCTCAGCACTCAGCGCAAGTGATGTGTGAGTACACCTCACTGACCTAATGGTGTCCTTGGAACTGTCTCCCCCCTCAGAGTGGTGCAGTGTGTCAGCAAGGGGGCGAGGCTGGTGAGACACTCTTCTCCTGTGGTAAGTGATGAAGAGCAGCAAGAGGATCATCAGGAACACCAGTCCTGAGCCAGCACCCAGGACACCCATGATGACGGAGGGCAGAGTCAGGGTCACCATGGAACTAGCGTCATCATCGCTTCCAGTTCCAGTGCTACCAACACTACTCTGTTTACCATCCCTCACTTCAGCCTCCAAGGGGCCGTCTGGTGAATTAAATAACAGTAAATAAAAACAGATTTATAGGCACTTTACAAGTTTATTGTTAAATTTATATAAAAATTGCCGAAGATTGCATTCACAAGACTTACAAAAGGATTGTCGGCGATACTTGCATTGTTGTGTTGGTAAGGAAGAGCCTAGTTAAACGGTAACATCAGTAAAATATCTAGGAATTACTTTTATCCGTGCAGTTCATGTGTACTGATAGTTCACAATGTTGTAAACCAACCACTGATACCGACGAGTGGTTTTAAAAAGATACGTGAGCATACACTAGGATATATTAGAAAACGTTGGACCTGGAACCTTGATTACTTCTCCCTTCTCCAGTAATCAAGGTCCCAGGACCGAAACGTTTTCTAATAAATATATCCTATTGTTTGCTCAAGTGTCTTTTTAAGGCCCAAATAACTAAAGCCAGGTTAGTTTGTCTCTTGACAGACAGTGGGTAACAAATGAGGCACGTAAGACCTTACCTATATCCGGCTGATACTTGTATGAAGATTAATTACTAATGTTCTGTGTAGCAGTTAGCGCTGACAAAAAAAAAAAATAAAATGCATATAAAAAAGCTCAAAGTATGATGGTGAGGTTGCTCCTGAACCAAGTATGATGGTGAGGTTGCCCCTGAACCAAGTATGATGGTGAGGTTGCTCCTGAACCAAGTATGATGGTGAGGTTGCCCCTGAACCACGTATGATGGTGAGGTTGCTCCTGAACCAAGTATGATGGTGAGGTTGCCCCTGAACCAAGTATGATGGTGAGGTTGCTCCTGAACCAAGTATGATGGTGAGGTTGCTCCTGAACAAAGGAACCAAGAGAACATACAGTCCAGTGCCTGAACAATATAACTGGAAGTTTTAAAAGGTTGGTAGGACCAGTATAGATATGCTTGAAAAGAACCAAGAATACAAAATTGATAACAACCAGTAACATATCTTAACCATACCACGGGCGGGGATAGAACCCGCGGGTTCTATCCCGTCCGTGGTATGGTTTGTTTGCAACCGTGTCATTACGATTTCGTGAGTCACCATAATATCTTCCTTATAATTTTGTAAAAATACGAACCAAAATCAATACTGCACTAGAGGAACCGAAAAAAATATTTGTAGTACCTATAGTAGGTAGACAGCCCTCCAACACCTATTTAGTACTTAGGTTACAGGAGTGGAAAAGCGACCTGATCACGTTAAGCCTAGTCATGGTACATACCAATTTCAGACTGGAGCTAAATAATTACTAATGAAGCTGCAAAACGGGAGAAAGTGATTTTCTTGTCTTAAATATAATTATGCAACGAATAATGTAGCATTGATCAGCCACATATGTTTCTTGTTTGCATTTCCTTGTTATTAATATTACTGTGGGTTGAATATAAGATGACCTATACATGCTTAACTATGGGAAATAGTGAAAACCTTAAGGAAAATACGTTAATTACATTGACCTTGTTAGGTTATCCTTGATTAAAAATATACATAATAAAATGTATACGAATATCCATTAAACACCTACGTGACCTCAGAATTTGTTAGTAAACCATTCGTTGATTTCGTAGATAAAACTTTAAGTTTTATGGTATTGTGGATGCCCATGAGGGTACTATCATCTTAGGATATCAATGAGGGTATCACCATAGGGTGCCCATAAGGATACCATAATTTTAGGATACTCTTGATGGTACCATCGTAGTAAATGATTTATTATCTATCTTTATTCGTCAGTGTTTAGTGACAAAAACAAAAATAATTCCGTGCGCTGCCTCTGTTACTGGCACATTATTGTTTATTTAAAAATATGTTCTTATTATTACAGCAATTACCTAAGTACGTTAAAATAGCTCATTCAGTCAAATTCGTTAAAGAATATATTGAAATAGGAATCGCTTTATTGTCAATAAAGCTCCCATTTTAAAATGGACCGTAATTAATAATATGGAGGTGTGGTAGAGCGTTGTACTAACCGTGCAGTTGGTAGACAGAACCGTTGGTACCTATGCTGCTGATGGTGAAATGAGTGGCACTGCTGGCACCTTTGTCATTGACGGCCTTCACTGCCAGCTGGTATTTAGCCTCCACCTGCAGCCCCTCCACCTGCAACACATCATCACATAACACCTGTTATTTACGCTTATACAACAAAATTACATGACAATAATTATATTTGTAATATAAGACACATTTGATCAGCCTTTTCCTCTCATATAAAACAGAAAATTATATTTAAAACGGCACAAATTATTCAGTAAAGCCCAGAGTGTAATCTTAAACGTTATAAATGGCCACCAGACATTTTACTCAGTGACCAAAGCAGAAACGTATCGGTAATTAGTTGTATAAATTATTCTGACATATGAGTTTGAATTTCTATGAATTAATTAGATATTCCCGAAGATCTTGAGGTAAGTAACCATTTATTTGTTCTTCCTTCCGGGTCTTAGTTTAATCAACTGACTAAATTTTCACCGGTGATGTAATGTAAAAAGAAACATATTCATGCAACTACTGCCATGTGCAGGAGTCCTCTTGTCAGCTTTATATGGACTATCTCTTGTTTTTAGAATCCATTCCATAACTTGAGAAAGCCTCTTCAACACTGTTGTAGCCTGCTTAAAGGAAGGTTGAAATCCTTGTAGGAGGGTGTAGGCACCAAATTATCAATGTTATTTTCAAAATGATGTAGATTTTTTCCCCGTTAAGCAACTTGAGCATGACTCTTCTGATGGTATCATTTTATAAAGGGTGATGCATTTTATAGATAGGGTGACAGCGCCCGCTGTAAGTCCTCAGCGCGATATATTGACAGTCTTCCAGGAACCTCAACGAATTATTTATGTGAAGATGCAGAACGAATGCAAGGCTCACATTGGGGTGTGCAACACTGGTTTGGAACACACACCTGTAACACTGGTATGGAACACACATGCAACACTAGTATGAAACACACCTGCAACACTAGTATGAAACATGTGCAACATTAGTAAGGAACACACACCTGCAACACTAGTATGGAACACTCACCTGCAACGCTAGTATGGAACACCTGCAACACTAGTATGAAACATATGCAACACTAGTATGGAACACACCTGCAACACTAGTATGAAACACATGTGCAACATTAGTAAGGAACACACACCTGCAACACTAGTATGGAACACTCACCTGCAACACTAGTATGGAACACTCACCTGCAGCACTAGTATGAAACATATGCAACACTAGTATGGAACACACCTGCAACACTAGTATGAAACACACACCTACAACACAAGTAGGGAACGCACCTGCAACACTAGTATGGCACACCTGGAACACTAATATGGAACACACCTGCAACACTAGTATGGAACACACCTGCAACACTAGTATGGAACACACACCTGTAAACACTAGTATGGAACACCTGCTACACTAGTATGGAACACACCAACACTAGTATGAAACACACATGCAACACTAGTATGGAACACCTGCAACAGTAGTATGAAACACCTACAACACAAGTAGAGAACACACCTGCAGCACTAGTACGGATCACACACCTGCAACACTAATATGGAACACTCCTGCAACACTAGTATGGAACACACACCTGCAACACTAGTATGGAACACCTGCTACACTAGTATGGAACTCACACCTGCAACACTAGTATGGAACACTTGCAACACTAGTATGGAACACACCTGCAACACTAGTATGGAACACACTTGCAACACTGGTATGGAAAACACCTGCAACACTAGCATGGAACACCTGCTACACTAGTATGGAACACCTGCTACACTAGTATGGAACACACACCTGCAACACTAGTATGGATCACACACCTGCAACACTATGGCACACCTGCAAAACTAATATGGAACACACCTGCAACACTAGTATGGAACACACCTGCAACACTAGTATGGAACACACCTGCAACACTAGTACGGAACACCTGCTACACTAGTATGGAATACCTGCTACACTAGTATGGAACACCTGCTACACTAGTATGGAACACCTGCTACACTAGTATGGAACACCTGCTACACTAGTATGGAACACACCTGCTACACTAGTATGGAACACCTGCTACACTAGTATGGAACACACCTGCTACACTAGTATGGAACGCCTGCTACACTAGTATGGAACACCTGCTACACTAGTATGGAACACCTGCTACACTAGTATGGAACACCTGCTACACTAGTATGGAACACACCTGCAACACTAGTATGGAACACCTGCTACTCTAGTATGGAACACACCTGCTACACTAGTATGGAATACCTGCTACACTAGTATGGAACACACCTGCAACACTAGTATGGAACACACCTGCAACACTAGTATGGAACACACCTGCAACACTAGTATGGAACACCTGCTACACTAGTATGGAACACCTGCTACACTAGTATGGAACACCTGCAACACTAGTATGGAACACACCTGCAACACTAGTATGGAACACCTGCTACACTAGTATGGAACACACCTGCTACACTAGTATGGAACACCTGCTACACTAGTATGGAACACACCTGCTACACTAGTATGGAACACACCTGCTACACTAGTATGGAACACCTGCTACACTAGTATGGAACACCTGCTACACTAGTATGGAACACCTGCTACACTAGTATGGAACACCTGCTACACTAGTATGGAACAACCTGCTACACTAGTATGGAACACACCTGCAACACTAGTATGGAACACACCTGCAACACTAGTATGGAACACACCTACAACACTAGTATGGAACACCTGCTACACTAGTATGGAACACCTGCTACACTAGTATGGAACACACCTGCAACACTAGTATGGAACACACCTGCAACACTAGTATGGAACACACCTGCTACACTAGTATGGAACACACCTGCTACACTAGTATGGAACACCTGCTACACTAGTATGGAACACCTGCTACACTAGTATGGAACACCTGCTACACTAGTATGGAACACCTGCTACACTAGTATGGAACTCACACCTTCAGCACTAGTATGAAACACACCTGCAACACTAGTATGGAACACACACCTACAACACTAGTATGAAACACACCTGCAACACTAGTATGGAACACACACCTGCAACACTAGTATGGAACACACACCTGCAACACTAGTATGGAACACACACCTGCAACACTAATTACAGACCTGAACTGTGAAGACGAACTTCAAGAAACGAATCTAATGTTATACATGTAGGATGGTAGCACTAAACCTGTAGGGGTCATGCAGCGACCTGGATGGAATAGGAGGCAATCGGGTTCGATCCAAGGAAGAGGAGAGCAGGTCCAATTCCTTGGAAGGCACCTCATAATGCTGGGAAGACAGAGGCTGAGAAAAGATAAGAAGAGACTCGAGTGTTTTTCAACAGCATCTTCACTGATGAGGAGACACTCAGGTGTAAACATTTATTTTAAGTTGTGCAAGAAAGGTATAAAATACCGACAATATGAAAGTTAAGACACATGTGCAACATCTGGATATCTTTATTGTAGTAGACGTTTCGCCATCCAGTGGCTTTATCAATACAGATTCTAGGACATAATAGGAAGACAGTAGAACTATATACAAAAGATGAGGTAATCAGTCCCTCGGCCTTGGAGTTAGTGTTCACAGCATCGTGGTGGAGGAGAATCTGGAGCAAAGACAAGAAGACTGGCGGTTTATGTCCTATTATGTCCTAGAATCTGTATTGATAAAGCCACTGGATGGCGAAACGTCTACTACAATAAAGATATCCAGATGTTGCACATGTGTCTTAACTTTCACATTTATTTTAAGGCAAAGTTTCGCTCGATGACGAGCGAAACGTTACCTTTAATTAACAGTGTGTTAGCACATAAGCAGGGGTTTTCTGCAAGCACAACCAAGTGTTACCAATCTCTGTACAAACATTGTATCATGCGGAAATAAATGTTTGACTTTGAATCCTATCATTACAATTATTATTACATTTAGGTGGAAGCGTTCAACCCGTAGGGGCCGTACAGCACCTGGGGGAAATGGAAAGCAATAAGCTTCGATCCAAGGAAAGAGAGAGAGAGAGAGAGAGAGAGAGAGAGAGAGATATTTCAACAGCTCTTAGCTTGTCAATAAAGCTAGGGATCCTTAACCTTGTCAAACCCTGTGTGAAAAGAGATCAAGTCTAATTCATTACATCTAAGAGCAGCGTCACCAGGATCAAGGACCCTCCCTGGTGGTGGGACTGATATTTCAAGAAAAAAAAAAAAACTATGGACAATGTTTATAAGGGTGAGTGAGGTGGGACCATATATATATAAGACAATAGAGCAGTGGTTCCCAACCTTTTCACTCCCAAGGTCCTTTTATTTAAATTAATTTTCCCAGGGACCCAGGTTTTTGTAAGGTCTGTCTACTCAACAAGTTGATTTTATTTACTAAAAGCAAACTCGTTTTCCCAGTTTCATCTCTCAATTGAAAGACATGCGAAACTGAGTATGCAATTAAATAAATGGCAGTATTAAAAAACTTACCTGTTTAATAAGACGACTGATGATGCTTTGATGACACTGTTCCGAATTTCAGATTCAATGACAGTTTTAAGCGTAGATCAGGTTCCACATTCATCCTGTTTCTGTATTTTATATAAAACAGCCGGGAGAAAGTCTGTTCGCATAAACATGTAGTGGGGTATGGTATTAAATATCTCAGGGCTTTGTATGCCAGTTCTGGCTACTCCGATTTGGAAACAGCTTTGCAATTTTGAAAGTTTATCGCCGGTAATTATACATTTTACACTGCAGCTTCGTGAAATTTTTAACTTGGCTCACGGACCCCCAGTACCGCCTTTTCGGACCTCCAGTGGTCCGTCAACTACAGGTTGGGAACTTATGTATTATAGATACAAGATAATTTATCCAGTGTAAGGGAGACATGCAAACAGACACTAGACGGGGTAGAGGAGGCTATCCCATACAGGAAAATAATTGCGACGTATCTACAGGGGTAGGAGGTTTATCTCACTGAAAGATTACTGGTTAGTAGGTGGGGCCCAGGAGCCGGAAGACATCTTACCACCCACATCTTCGGCACATATTGGGGGTGTTGTTCAGATAAACAATATATGTACTAGAATGGTATAGCGACTCACGTGGAAGTCCGGCGAGGAGTCGGAAGTGAAGTTGAGCTGGTGGTGAGGTGCATGTGATGTTGCCTGCAGGAGGAAGTGTTGGGGTAGGCCACCGCTGCTGCCTGCCACACACTGCACTCTGACGGAGGTGCGGCTCCTGCTCCCCACTGTGCAGTTACCTGGTGGCTCCGGCTTACCTGGGGAAGGTGACGAGAGGGGTCACGGCTGACTATGGGAAGGCAGGAGGGAGGGAACAGTTTCCTTCAATACAGGACAAGTTAGGTGGGGGGAGCTTCATGTTGAGCTTGATAAAGCTCCTGGAGAGCGAAACGTTGCCACAATAAATGTCACATTAGTTGCACTTGTGTCCTTTTACTTTACATATTGTCGGTAATTCTACCAACTTTATTACATGTTGAGCTTGTCGAAGCAGAAGCAGCTTACCTAACGGCTGAGCTTACATGAGAAATAATGAAAATTTACCAACTGGAAAAGTTTCTTCAGCGGGTTTACTGAAGAAAAATTATCTCCAGGCACAGCTTATCTGAAGCTCCTCTCCCGAGTAATACATCATTACCTACACTCTTATATTATTTCAAACCCTGTTGTATTGTATCTCGTTCTATAATTATTCTCCTCTTCCTTCCTCCCTCCCTTCCCCCCTCTCTCTCTCTCGTACATCTTCCATACTTTTTTGTCATATAAGTATTAAATGGAAGCAAGAGTAGCGTGTATATTATGCTCTTAGCCAAAGAAGGATCGAGCCTCCACCACTCCTTACGCTAATTGATCCACACACTGTTACTACTACTACTACTATATAGATTATACTATAATACATAATATAATTTATAACACTTTTGTCACACTCCCCGGATACCCAAACAATTACACCTGGTCCTCACCTGCAGGAACAATGTGGAAGACGCAGGGTTCTTTTTGCTCGCCTATCTCATTGGTGGCCCAGCAGAGGAGAGTGCCGTAGTCGAAGGAGGTCATGGGGGTGTAGGTGATTACACTGTGGCTGACTAGGGAGGTGAAGCGGCCATTAGGCACGTCGATGGTATCCGCCGTGTTGTTGAACGTCCACTGGAAGGACTCCTGGATGGGGTTAGCCTCCACGGAGCATGTTACTTCAGCATCCTCGTAGCGTTCCACAGCGTAAGTGGTTACCTGTCCCGGGGAACACACAGGGGCGTCTGCAAAGCAGGGAGATTATTATAATTATAATTATAACTACGCGCTAAACCCAAAAGAATCACACAACGCGCAAGCATGGAAAGAACGTGATACAAGATGTAAGTAGTATTTCCAAAGGAAAGTGGTTGTAAACAAGTTTTATTCGAAGCATTTGCTGGATTTTCATAATTAAACAATTAGGTGAAAATTCTGTTCTCTTGTTTAAAAGCATGTATGATGGGGAGGCGTGACAAAGAGTATCTTATTGGTGCTTTTAAAAAATTATTATACGACGCACTTAGCCATGCAATTTCTTACCCCAAACACACTACTGACACTGAGACTTCGATTGGGTGTAGCTGGAATATAACACACACACACACACACACACACACACACACACACACACACAAAGTTACTCACACTTGACGTCGAGGGTGAGTGAGTTTGAGAGGCCGTCACCGACAGTGTTGTGAGCGAGGCATGTGTAGCGGCCAGCCTGGGTCCTGGTGACCCTCTGCAGCACCAGACTCTGGTTGCTGACGATCACACCAGCTGAGACGTTGTGCACCAGCACCTTCTCCTGCGATATCACAACACGGTGGGGATGATCAGTGTAAGAGGCTGCACAAAGTGAGGGAACATAACCTCAACTATACCCTGGATGTTACAGATGATCACCCACACCGCCTATTTTGGCGACAGGATACAAAAGTCAACTGGCCACGATATTACTGAAAAGGCACAGGTGCAGAGCGAGCTTTTATTGTGATAAGTGATAACGTATCGTTCTGTCTAGAGCTTCAAGACAATGACTTGACAAAGCTCTACACAGAGCGACACGTTGTTAGCATAAAAGTCTGTTTTGCAGCTGTGTCGTGTATACAACGCTGGTAGCAGTAATCCAAGGGCAAAAAGTTCAGTGTGCTGGAAAAAAAAAGACATTATATTACGAGGGTGTTAAACACAAAACAATGTATTACGATGATGATGACCACGAAACATTATATTTTAAGGATGATCAAAAGAAAAAGTGGATTGGACGTTATACTTCAACAGTAACACTACTTAGCTGTTGCTTACGTAACAGTGATTTGTGTTGAAATTACAGAACATCAGTAAAAGACTTAAACCAGTATTAGAGGCCAGGTAAAGAAAACCAAAGAAAACATATGTTGAAGCATGAGAAAACTTACAGATAACCTCACGCTCTGAGATCAGGTCAAAGACAGTCCAGGAGGGAGAGATAAAGACTGGAGAGATGGGGAAAGAACTCAAGGAAATAGAGAGAAAACACAGAAAGGAGGAGACACGAAAGGAAGAGAACTGGAAGGCCCGTGAACACACTCCCCCAAGAGAGGAGAGCACTTCTTTTTATAAGAGAAAGGGGAGATGGAGACACTGGGAGAGGCATACCATGTTCCTCCACTCCACACTGATATTACGTTCATTCATAGGAGGTGCCTTGATGCTAGTGAAGGGCTCTTGAACCAAGGAACTGGAGCCTCACCTCCCTTCACTGAATCAAACCTGACTGCCTCCCATAATAATAATAATAATAATAATAATAATAATAATAATATACTAGTATCACTACTACAACTACTATTAATAAAATAAACAAACAACTTAATAAAGTGGAGTACAGTATACAATAATTGACAATGGAGTAACTGACATGTATAAACAACTTCAAAGAAAGTCCCCTGTTATGTACAGTATTTCGGTTAACCTTCAAACTAATTTACAATTACTAGACAGTGAGACAAATTTGTAGTTTGTCAGAATGTTACAAATGTTATTTTACATTTAAATTCTCTGATAATTTGGTATATGAATTATATTAATTTGAGATCTTGTGTAACAACTTGGAACACATTTGTATGAGGGAAATACTGAGGTAAAATATATACATGTATATGGTTACTACATATGTTGAAACATACTGGTGATAGTGTGGCATCACTATGCATCTTAATATTACTTGGATCAAAAGAATTGTTACTGATGCATCGGACTTAAACATTAGTTGTTTAAGAAGAGTTTAAGTCAGATTCCGGGGGTTCTGTTTGACTATATTTTTGAAGCAAGTGACTGAAGAGAAACTTTGTACATCTTCCGGTTTCCGACTCCATTTTTTAAATACTATTAATTACTATTGCTAAAAATTTTGTTTAATACCATATTTACTCTCGTCCATTTTACTTTTGTACATTTTTTACAGATTATTACCATTAATTGTTAAAAACTTGTTTTAATGCCACATTTACTATCAGTCCATTCTTCTTCATACAATTAATCACTATATTCTCTTAGTGTAGTTTACTTTTAAATACTTTGTATTACTTTTATAAGTTGTAATATTACTACCAGTGTAATACTGAATACTAAACAGTTTTTCATAAAAATTTATAACCTGTAATATAAATTAATTCTTTTTTGTTTATATAATTTTTAACTAATATTACTTGTTTAAATTTTGTTCAACACCATATTTATTATCAGTCTATTTTACGTTAGTGCAATTGATCACTACATTCTCTCTTTTTATTTCTATTGTTTTATTTTTAATTTACCATTACTTGCTTAGTATTATAAACTATTATTATAGAACTAATAACTTGTGTAATATTATATTGTCAAACTTGTGCCATAATAAGAGAATAATTCCTGTATTTTATAATTACTTATTTTAATCTCTTATTATAAACTATTATTTTGTCTTATTTTTCTTTTATAACTACCATTACCTGCAGACTTTTAATTTAATTATTACTTCTAGTACTATGCAATTTTATTGTGTTCAGTAAACCTCTATTCTAAATCTACAACTTTTGTCAAACTCTAAAATAAGAGTTCAATATAAAATCATTAAATCTGTACCATATTAAGAGTAAACTGTATCTCTGTATTTTTTAAAAAACTACTTGTAACAATCCATTAGCTAGTAAGATAACTTAGTTTAGTATCATTATTATTAAGTTTAATATAATACTTTATAAAAGTCTAGTTATAGAGTCACTCTCAACCTTATGATTACAAACATTGATCCTGATATCAACCTTTTATTAAATGACTTACACAAATCGAACAGCAACTGTAATTATTTTACAGCAGACCGAGCAGACATTACTCAGGGCCAACAATAACATAACTATCTTTAATTACAATGTCAGATCTTTGCGCAAACACTACGATGACCTCACAGCATTACTCAATTTCCTTCAAACCAGTATGTCAACCATCACACTCACAGAAACCTGGCTAAAGCCTGGTACTACAGATGTCTATGCCATTCCTGGTTACACAGCCATACACAACTGTAGGACAGAACAGTAAGGGGGTGGAACAGCTCTATACTACTCAGATCAACTTAAATGTATCAATAATTCTTGCACAAGGGATGAACATGGAGAATATATTATAGCTAAATTTAAATCAAAAGACCTGCAAAAACCCCCTCACAGTGATAAACATCTACAGAGTACCACAGTCAAACATTAACCATTCTAGTGAAAAATTAGGAAACATGATAACTGATGCACATATGAACAAAGACCACTTACTGCTCACAGGAGATCTCAACATAAATCTACTACATGACCAGGACCCACAAGTAACCGAATTTACAAACACTATGAGCAACTGCTTGTTGCTACCAACGTAACAAAACCTACAAGAATCTCCGAGACTAGTATCTCCATATTGGACCACATCTGGACTAACACCATATTCCCTTTACAATCAGGCATAATCACAGACAACACCACAGACCACTACCCTACCTTTCTCATAACCAACCTAGGTAAATTGCCCCAAGACACTACTAAAGTTACCTTCAGACTACATAACGAGACAGCTGTTAATAACTTTATAACAGATATGAATAACATTGACTGGCATAATGAGCTTGAAACATATACATATACGAATGAATGTATTAATAATTTTCTAAAAAAAAAAAAAAAAAAACCACCTCTATAACTATCATTGCCCTAAAAAAACTAAACAGATCACAGCTAAGAGCCTGAAAACTCCCTGGCTAACACCCAGCATCCTTAAATCCATTAACACAAAGCACCTAAATAAAAACAGTACAGAACGGGTCAAATAACTAGAGACCAGTCTAAACAAAAAGATTGTATTACGAAAACAGATTACATAACATAAAAGGTGATATGTAAAAGATCTGGAAAACCCTATCCGAAATTCTAGGAACTAAAAAGATATCCAAAAAGAAAACAAACAAATTAACAAAATCAGACGAACTTCTACTCCCACCAACTGAAACAGCAAACAGACTAGATGTTTTATTCTCCACCATAGGAAAGAATCTAGCGAGCAAAATCCCAAGCTGAAACACCCGCCCATCAGACTATTTCACAGGCACCTACCCGAATACACTATTCCTAGCCCCAACCAACCTAACAGAAGTCTCGCTCATCAACACCCTTAAAAACAAGGCAGGAGACAAATAACTTACCACCTATTTTGTACAAAAAACCTTCACAAGTACTGTCACCAATAATTGCAACACTCTTTAACAAATCCATCAAATCCTCCACCTTCCCAGCAATTCTCAAAATAGCGAGTGTAACCCCGATCCACAAAGGAGGTGATCAAGCCGACTTGAATAACTATAAACCAATTTCTAACTTACCTCTGATCTCTAAAATCATTGAAAAATTAATTCATATTAATTCCTACCTCGTCTCACAGAACATACCATACTAAACCCCTGTCAGTTTGGATTCAGCAATAATAAAAGCACAAATGATGCTATTATACACATGCTAGAACTAATATACACTGCTCTCGAGAAGAAAGAAGTCCCGCTGCGAATCTTCATTGATTTACGTAAAGCTTTTGATACTGTCGACCATGATTTGCTGCACATTAACACACTATGGTATAAGAGGGCACTCCCTCAACTACCTAAAGTCATACCTTAGTAACCGAAGCCAAGATGTGTACACAAATGAAGCAAACTCTTTCACTCAACCAATCACAGTCGGTGTTCCACAAGGAAGTGTCCTTGGCCCACTCCTCTTTCTCATTAACATCAATGACCTACCAAATGCATCACAACTACTCAAACCCATATTACTTGCAGATGACACAACATACGTCTTCTCTCACCCAAACCCAGTCATACTCGCCAACACTGTTAATGCCGAATTGCAGAAAATATCTACCTGGATGATGACTAACAAGCTTACCCTCAATACTGACAAAAACCCATTTCATTCAGTTTGGAAACAGCTGCAAATGTTCCACTTAACATAATGCTACGCGGATTACCCATCACAAGACTCACAGAGGGAAAATTCCTAGGAATCCACCTTGACAGAAGCCTCAACTTCTAGACACATATACAATAAATTTCCAAGAAAATCTCTAAGACAGCAGATATACTATCAAAGATACGGTACTATGTTCCACAATCAGCTCTCCTTGCACTGTATCATTCACTCATCTACCCTTATCTCACATATGGGATTTGTGCATGGGGATCAACATTAAATCACCTAAGACCACTAAAAACCCAGCAAAAGACTGCAGTCAGAATGATAACAAATTCCC